TGTTGAAAGGTCGACTTCGAGACGAGGCCAGTCTCAACGTGCTCTCCGCCTCCTACGCCGCCTCTGCCGTCGCCGTTTCAGCCGTCTCCGCCTCCAACTCGCCCCACAAGACGCACACACACACACACACGCATACACACACACATTACTGTCATTGTCTCGGTGTCTACTGTACCCTCGGCCGGCGACAGACGATTCGTCGGAGGTCCGGCAGTCCGGACGGTCGGCCGAAATTCGCCTCGACGGTGCGCAACGGACCGGCCGGACTCGCGAGCGGACCCACCAGCGGCGGCGTTGATGTCGGCGTTGCCATGGCTACGGCGGCAGGCTCATGTGGATCGAAAGCCTCTCAGTCGGGCAGCAGTCGAGCTCGCGCCTCCAGAGGCTTGGCGGCCGTGGTCAGCTCGGAGGGGGGCCAGGGCGAGACGAAGGGCGAGGCGAACGGAGCGCCACTTGGCCTTGGCGTCGTGGGCTCGGCTGCCACGGCGACGGGCGAAAAGGGCGTCGTGACGACCGGCGGTCTGCTCCGGCTCATGGCCTCGGACCTGGGCCGCCGGGGCGCCGGTCTGGGATTGGCCTATTTGGGCGGCGAGGCCGAGGGCTACCTTCTTCTACAGCAGAGTCGGGGCAGTCTGGCGCGCTCCAGCCTGGCCTCGTTCGCCACCGTCAGTCTGTTCGACCAGTCGACCAAGCGCACCAGCCTCTTGCTCTCCTCCGTCGCCGTCACGAGTCCTCGCGGCTCCTTCCTCCTGCCCCCCGGCACCCTTGTCGGCCCCGGCCAGCTCGGCCAGACTGGTGAGTTCGCTAACCTCCTCTGCCCGCCCGGCTGGCCCGGCGACGCGATGCGTGTCCTGCTGACGAACGGCGACGTCGACGGTGACGATGGCAACGACGACGGCGAAGCAAGGAGCCTCCCGGTGCCACAACTCGCCGCAACCCGCCCCGCCACAGCCACGATTACGGCGACGGCGACGGCGACGGCGACGGCGAGTCATCCTGCTGCCCTGCCTTCAGTGGTCGTCGACGGCCTGAGTCAGACGTCGTTGGAGGCCGGCATGCAGACCTCTGGATGGACAGAGACGATTCGCATTCTCGTCCACGCCCACGACGCTCCGGAGCTCTCAAGGCCGAGGTTGGACCATCTGCCGCTGCCAGACCTCGTTCAGGAGAGCTTGCACCGACTACAGCAGCCCCGACAACCGCATCGCTTGACGACCAGCAGTCTGGTGACCAACGCGACCGAGGCGGATCGAGACCGAGTGTTGCCGTTCGTCGACGACGCGCGGCCAGACGAGGAGTTCGGCCGGAGCGATGAGGCGGCAACCTCGTCGCGTCTATCCGTCTACGCCGCTCCCGTTTCGTCGGTACGTCGGTCTGCATGCAAGTGTGAGAGAGAGATAGCCGTCTGGCCAACCGGTTGCGACGATCGGCACCAATTTGAGTCGTTGTTGAAGCACACGATACCGTCAGAATGTCACCTGCCTCGCCATGACGACCAACGGCTACGTCTGGCAAACGAGGCTCACGACGGGTTTTTGTCCGTTCCGGTCGGCTTGGCGGGCGGAAGCAAGCCATGGCGAGTCGAGGAGGCCAGCTCAAGCCGGG